CCTACTAAACGTCTATTACCACTATGTCGAACAATCAAAACAGGGAAATTTGTCTCAACGACCAACATGGAAAAAAAAATCAATAGTTGAGGTATACTCTCCTTCCGAACAGGGAACATCTTAGTGCAACTAGCCTTGCCAAAACAACATGCACCTTCCATTATCAAACAATTTCACAACTATCCACTCTCTTTCCACGTAGAGAGAAAACTAATGAAAGTCAAGAAATCAACAACGATGAAACGAAAGCAGAATAAAAAACGAGCCCAGTCAAAGAAGCTAACCAGTCACGAGATAGAAAAATGAGCATAAACGGACCCTAAACGGGAAACCCCAAACGAAGCAGCCGACAACTAGATAATTCACGAATAAATACACAAAAGAACCAGACGACGAAACTCTAGTAGGCATAAAGGCATAAAAAAACGCCTAGGGAGATAAATGAGAAGACCACAAACGTTCCAAAACAATCACGCTAGGCCAAAAAAATACAGTGCTTCGAAAGACCCAGGTGATCTCTCATGCTTATTTAAAATTGTGAGCGAAACAATTATAAAACACTCCTCAAAATGCCCTGGTCATAGCTCTATATAGCGTCTATGAGGCGGAGAAGAAAAAAAAAACTTGCAGCTCCGCAACACCCAACACCCACTAACAATGCATATAAGCAGACTCTGTGAAACTCCATCAATAGAAAAATTCCCACGAGAAATGAAAGTTGAAAAAACATTCAATAAAAAAAAAATCCTTCATATTTATAAATTATCATTCCAATGTTTGTCCAATTCTAAAATTTCCAGTTTTATTTGACAAGTTCCCGTCTAAATATGAGTTTTTCATTCCAACTATATCTATTTGTTCAATATGGAATGAAAGTCTGAACGACTTTATGAAATGTTTTAATTAAACTTTCATTTTACTACAACAAATATTTTCTAATATAAATTGGATTAACCTATTTATGACTGAAAACCCTTACTTAGAATGACAGTCCAATTAAAATATTTCATGAACTCATCCAGACTTTCATTCCATCTTTAGCATGCTATTCAAATAAGAAGGGACACCCCATTCTTGGAAGGAAAGTTCTCAAGTAAGACGAAAATTTTAAAAAGTGGAATGACATTTTTTAAGATGGAATAAAAATTTGAGATTTAGAATGTAATTTTACTATAGAATGAATATTTAATTCTGGAAAAATTTTATGTTGATGTTGTCCTAAGCCTCGCTCTCGTAGACGAAAGAAAGTGGTCACCGTGAGCCTTCAGAAGTCGGATGGGTATAGCAGGCAAACGCCCTAGCCTGCGCGTCAGCCTCCCACGTCGGCGCTAGCCCACCCGGTCGCCGCCCCTCTGTTCACCAGACTGCGATGGCAGGGAAATTTTAACAATTTGGAATTCTCATCCCCCTTCATTTAGGGCCTCGTTCCACTACTCACCAAATGTGCAAAATGAGGATAGATCTTCCGTTAGGAACATGGGGACGACTCACATGACGACTTTCCTGGACGTATCTGACCTCTTTTACGGCCAGACCGAAATTACTAATGCCACACAGGGCATGGGGGTACAGCCAGGACGGCGGGGGTACCGTCGAGCGCACACTTGACACATATACCAGTCCCACCATTCAGATGGAGACGACTACGGGCCGGTTCGTTAAACCATCAGTACTTGCCCAACTATAGGCCGTGAAAAAAAAAATAGAGTAGAAATGTTTCTAGTGGGATGAATTTGGGTGCTCCTGTAGTAGTCCGTAAATTGTACATTTCCTAAAATAAATCATGTCTTGCTAACCGGTACAACTATGAAAAATGAGAAAAATCGAATGAATCTTCCGCTAGAACATGAAAATCCTATCGATGGAAGTAGCCTGTCTCTAGCTCTCTGCGCACATGGCTGGAAAGCAGTGTATATTTCCATATTATAGTGGAAGATTCCGATTTTGCTCATCTTATCAACGAAAGTAGCCTCTTTTTATCTCTCTGCGTGTATGGTTGGAAAGCAGTGTATATTTTCATATTCTAGTGGAAGATTCATTCCGATTTTGCTCACCCTATCGATGAAAGTAGGCTCTCTCTATCTCTCTGCGTGCATGGTTGGAAATTTTTCTTTCTTTCTCTCCGAGTCTTTCTCACACACACACACACACA